CCCCCTTTAAAACCCCCCACATTCCAGCAGGTAGCCCTGATAGAGTTTCCTTCCCCCTCTGCTCCTTCAATTAGTTTAAATTATTTCGCTGGTTATTTCTACTGTTTTTCAACTCATCTGCAGTCTCGGCGTTGAACTCCTTCGATCCCTGCTGCTCCTTCGGCCTCACCAGTTCCTGTCTCTCTTCGTCCCAGTGGAATCTGACATCCCCTATCCAGAGGCACTGCTGGAAACTCTGCACCATTGCCCTTCTTCCCAAGTCTCTGGCACGACTTGCCAGAGCCTCCAAGTACTCTGCTACCTGGATCTGCCTCGGCGTCAGGTCATCAAGGACTTCGACCCCCACCTCCCTGAGGGCATTCTGATTCTCCCTGCCCATCAGCATTCTCTTTTGCATATGAGTATCTAGCTTGAAAAGTAGTTCCCCTGTCAACAGGTTTGTTACTTTTATCACCCTGATATTCATCCCCACCCGGTTCTTCACGCAGGATATGAAATCTAGGGCCTCCATTCCACGTACTGTCCTCAACCCCCTGACCACCACCTGGTTCAGTCTTCTAACCCTCTCTTTCTTCTCATATTTCCACTTTCCCTTCCCTAGCATGTCCGGTGCTCCTTGCCTGCAGGCTAGCCCTTCTAGCAGGTTCTCCAGCAACCTCCCCTCCTTCAGTGGGGGCCCCCACCTCGTTCCCTGTCTTTTCTTCCCTGCTGCATCGCCGCTCTTGCTGGGGGGTGACGTGATTCCTGGGGACGACGGGGGAGGGGCGTTACTTATCCTCTCTCTGTTGCCGCGCGTGTTAGCGTTGCTACTATTATTAATATTATTGTTAATAATATCTCCTTCGTCCCGCTCCTCTTCCCCACTGAGGCACTGTGAAAACCTCCTGTCTGCAGAGTCTCCACTGACCCCCCTCGCCTTCTCCTTCTCCTTCGGCTTCTCATTGCTCCCCTCGTAGGGCATTCGTTGTAGCCTTACCCTCACCTCTTCCACATCCTCCAGCATTCCTCCTACCCATCTTTTCACAGTCTCAACCTCATCCTTTACCTCCCCCACCTCCGATAGGATTGCATTCAGAGCTTCATTCAGTACCGGGCCCCTTCTCTCTGAATCCCTCAACAGTTCTCGTTCTTCCCTGGCCAGCAGTTTTTCAAGGCTTATCTCAATTCTCTCCAGCCGTTTCTCGAAGTTCTGTACAGAGGTACTCTTTCCCCCTGTAACACACCACTCCCCACATCGCTGGCACCTGTCAATCTCCCTCACGTCCGTGTCCGTTCCAATATCTCTTGTTAGCCCCTTTCCTTTACCGGGCTCTAGTATTCCGGCCCCATCCTGCTTTCCTTCCTGGGTATGTTCCGATTCCGTTCCTTCATCCCCGTTGGGCCCCAGCAGCTCCCCCTCAGCTTTGTCAGCCTCGCTCTCCAGGTCTCCCTCCCCTGCATCCTGTGCAACCCCCTTTCCTCTCAAAATCGTCGTCTCTTCACTCACTGACCTGCTCCATGTTGTGTTTCTTCCATCAGTCTCTCCCTCACTCGGATCTGGGTCGTCCACCTCCTCCTCACCCTCTTTCTCCTTTCTCCCGGTTTCCCCCCTTCTCACTGGTACACTGCGGCACCTCAGGCTCCTAGGGGGGGTACGCGTGATTTTTTCCCTCACTGTGAAAGCCTCCCCCTCTTTGTCCCTGAGAAAATACTCATCTATTTTAACTCCCTGTCCTCGCTTCGATGGTCCAGGAGGGCGTCCTCTCCTCTTCTTTTGCTCTATAGACCCCTTTTTCTCCTGCGGCGATAAGGCAGGAACCTTCTCTCCTCCCCCGTCCTGACCCCCGCCATCGCCGGCGCCATCTCTCGTTTCCACCGTTGACTGGCTTGGCATGGCGTTCTCCTGCTCGTCCCGCTCAAACTCCTGCTCTCTCTCCCCACTTAATCCCTCTCTCTCTTCAGGCGTCCTAACCACGGCTCTCTCACGAAACTTAGAAAGCTACAAACTCGCAAAGGGCTTCTTCCCCACTTTCACTTGTCCCCTGGATGTTCTAAATTAGGTAGCACCCACTTTGACTTTCCCCTGAACACAAAAACCCTTTAAACGACGTAAATAATTGTAGACCACGCTTCCCCGCAACTGTTGACAACGGCGATCGGCGCGCCACCCCTATCGATAAATTAATAAATGAATCAATTTATCAATAGATCAATAAAATTAATTTATTATGATTAGTAAAGTTTCTCATAAAGCTTTAAAATGGTCTTACATTTTCGATCTTCATCGCTGCATCGATCTTACAGTGGCAGTGGTTATAATACCACGCGGAACTTAAAATTGGAGATCTGAAAGGGGTATTATTCCTATGATCAAACTCATGAACGATGTTAAATTGCATAAGACTTCATGTTAAGATCGGATATTGATCTGATTTTAAGACTGTTTACTGGACTTACGGTCTTAGATCTTAGTTTCAGACCGCTCGTAAGACCAGAGAGTTATTGCAGTGACGTGGCATTCGATTTTGATTGGATGCTGAGCAAAATCATATCACAGATTTCTTGTTATCCAGATGGAAATTTTCAAATTTCCATCCCGATAACGGGCGAGGCGAGCGACCTACAACCCAGTCGAATTTACTACTCCACTTTGCTTCTCTTTTCAGGAGAAAAATTAAATTTTAAAAACTTGAAAAATTTTATCTGAGGAAGTTCTATAGAAAGTATTTTAATATAGGGGCGTTCCATGCTACTTCGATCGAATCAGGAGATTTTTTTTTTCAAATTTCGAAAAAAATTGAGTATGTTTCCGATTGTTTCCTAGCATGCCTTAGAATATCATTTTAAAAAAATATTTTTTTTGGAAGTTATGCGACATAAAAATTTTCAGGGTGGGCCAGGTGAGTAATTAAAAAAATATATATAACTCGATAAATATCAAATTTATCGAATTAGTGAAAAACAATTTTTTTATTCTAAACAAGTGTAAGTTTCCGGGGGAAAAAAATTGACGTGAAAAAATTCAATTTGCAATGAATTAATCAATAAACAAATTAAAAAGTTAATAACAAAGTATGAGGGCATATTGCGAAAATTTCGAAATAAATATATGTTATTGCGTAGATATCGAAGGATTGTTGGTATAAATGGCATTGATTAATCTTGAAAAATCAAATTCTATTCATTTTTTCTGTAGGACATTCTTCATTCAATATTTCTAATTGAAAAAATGCGCATAAGCTCTCAAATTTTTCAATAGAATCGACAAAAACTAATAGACTTTTTAAAAGAAATTCAATAGAACTCCATGAAATTCGCTGTTTTTTTCTGGAATTTCTTGGTGCGTGGAATGCCTCAATTAAAAAGTATTTTTGGTTGAAAAACTTTCTCAACTGCAAAAATTTTCTCGCCATTTTCTGTTGGAGCTTCTTATTCTCAATAATTCCACAAACAATAAAAATGTAGAGTTCGACTTATTAGAGGCATTCCACGGTATTTCAATGAAAAAAAAAAAATTTTACAATCGTAATTACGATTTGTAACTTTTCCAATGAATTCCGCTATTCACCTCAGTAAACCCCTCAGCAATCCTCACAGCAAGGAATGCTGGAAGGCCCCAGTACGCTGCCCATGGGCTGACAACAGTAAGAATTGCTGTTAGAAGTACACCGAGCCCATACACTAATTTTCCACCAACTTTCTCAGCCATGCGACCACCAGGTACATTTGTTATCACATAACCAAGGAAGAATGATCCCAGGATGACGCCTTGGGTTTTCTCGTCCCAATTGAATTCGCCGGGGCTCTGAAAGAATAATTATTTCCTATAAATCACCAGTGGCATGTATGAAAAAACTTAAAAAAGAAAATGTAGCTGCTTCGCTAGAAAATTCTATTGGATTTCTATTGAACATTCTATTAGTTCTTGGCCGATTCTATTGAAATGTTCAACAGAAAATAGTCTATAGAAAAAGTCAATAGCATTCGATTTTTCTATACAACTTATTCTATGCCGATATTTTCTATAGAATTTCCTCGGTTTAAATTTCCCAAATTTTTTGTTTGATTTTCTTAATGAAAAGAAAAGAAAAATCGAATGAAAAAAACCTGGAAAATTTGTGCCGAGAAAATTCTATAGAAAATATCTGAATGGAATACGTTGCCTAGAAAAATCGAAATCTATTCGCTTTTTTTGCTAGACTATTTTCTATTAAACATTTCAATAGGATCGGCCGAAAACTAATAGAAAGTTCGATAGAAATCCAATAGAATTGTCTAACTAATTCGCTGGGTATTCCTATAAAATTTTTTCGTGGGTGAAAGTGATGGAAAAATCTGAAATGTGGCTGAAAAATTAGTTCATTACTGAAAACTTCTTACTTCTCAGCCATTAGCAAGTATCACAGCAATTAAAACAAAAACAAAAAAGGAAAAAATCGAGGGAAAAATTGATTTTTTTTCTACGGAAACCTGATAAAGCGAGCGAAGAAAATGTCTCATTGTCAATCGAAAAAGTTGTATAGAAAAATGAAATTCTCCTACTTTTTCTCCTACTATAAAATAGTTTCTATTGGACATTTTTTATGAAGAAAAGGCGTAAAAAATCTGCAGAGGTTTTCAATAGAATCTGCAAAAAACTCATCGAATTTTTGAAAAAAATTCAATAGAAATCGAATCGAATTTTCTATACAATTCGCATTTTCAATCTGTTCAAATGAGATAATAAAAATGTAACATTTTGATGCAGCGTTTCTAATGGAACAGGAATGTAACAATGGGGGTGGGGTGATCAATCACCCCAGTGTACCCGTAGGAGTGTCCGGGAGGTGCACCCTACACCTCCAGAGTAGAGTTAAAATCTGTTCAATGAGCTGTGACGTACAGTGATCCACGTCAGCACTCTCTCGGTGAAATATAACTCCACTTCTAAAGAAGAAGCTGTTTGATTGTGAAGACACTATCACTGGCAATATCTTCCTCGAAAGAGTGAATAAGACCCATGAGAATGCTTATTCAGAACTTGAAACCTTGAACGTTTTGATTATTGTAGTTATTGTTTCAGATAGTCTTTACCGTGTAAAAAATATGTTTGCAAAGTAAAAATTTTTTTTGTATTACTTCTTACGATTCCTCGTCCGGGAATTGGTATTGCATGTTTTCCAAACTCGGAAACTCCGATCGTGTAAAAGACCTCATCGCAACAGCTGGGGAAATACTATCTTGAGATGGATGGAATGATATTTTATTTGAGGAATGAAGTAATTTTCGGACGGCCCAATGTAAGTTATGTTTCAGATTTTTAAATTGACGAATAAAAGACTTTATCGGCCTTGCGGTATAGTATCAGCAATGTTTACTTTTATGTTTGATTGTTCGTCAACGTTTTACTTCAACTGTCAAAAAATACTGAATTCTCATTACAATAAAATTTGAAATATACACGTACGAAAGAATTTCAGAAAACAAACCTAACGAATTCGCTGGAAAGTTCTATTGGATTGCTATTGAACTCTAATAGTTTTTGGCCGTCCGAGATGAAATTTTACGGATTTTTTCTATAAAACAACTTCTTTTGGATATTTCTTTCTAAAAAAAGTGTAGTAAAACAACGGAATTCTAGAACAGAATCGGCCAGAAACTAATAGAATCGTCAATAGAAGTTTAATAAAAATCCAATAGAATTTTGTATTGAGTTCGCTAGGTCTTTCTATGATTTTATTTCGTACCTGTAGGATTCTTATGCTGAATATGTTCTTGAATAAACTTCTCCAACAATCATTTGCATCCAAAATTATTTCAAGTTACTTCACTTAAGGAAATCCGGAATTCAGGAATTCACCAATTAATAATAGTTCACCAACGAACGAATTTCATAGAAAAACCTACACGGAGAGAAATATTCAATAAAAATTATATATCTTTTCCGTAATTCCGGAGCGCAATGTGGTTGTAGAAAATTTTACCGAACTCTCACCTATAATTTTTATCTAAAATCACGGAATTTTTCCAGAGCGTTCCGTAATTTTTATCTGCATCTCCTGTGAAAAATTGTGATAGTGACTTAAATTTTCTGAGTCAATTCCGTAATCGCTGAGCAAACTGTCAGTTCCGTAATTTTGACTGAACATTTCTATCCGTGTAGCGTATTCCATAGAAAATTCAATTCGATTTCTATTGAATTTCCATTTTAAATTGTATTCTTTTTTGGCTAATTCTATTGAAGATTTACGTAACTTTACTGTGCGTTTTGGTTATAGAAAATGTCCAATAGAAACTATTTTATAGAAAAAAAAAATAAACAAAATTTCACTTTTCACCATTTTGGGGCGAAATAAATAATAAAAAGAAATATAAAAAAGAATGAAATGTTCGCGGACTGGGAACGGAGATAAAAGAATAACGAAAAAGAATGACGATCATACATGATGGTGGTTGAGAGAGAGGAAAAGGGCAAATACGCAACAATACTTTTACTTCTTTTCAAATTCATAAATGGCCCTGAACTGCTTTGTGCTCAGTTATTTGGCCACACTCATCGCATTTTTTATTCCGGTGCTTCTGAATTTGCAATTGATAGCTTTATGATCATTATCGTCAAATTCGCAGCACCTCTCTTTTGACTGTCAAAAGGCTTGCATAACGGCTCTATTATCCATTCCATCAGACTGATCCTTATTTGCTTCATTCCGTATTAAGAAGTTTTGCAAGAAACGAAACTCTTCTCTATTCTAATGTGGGTTAGATTTATTTTATCATAGTGGAATAAATCCAATACATTTTCTGAATCCTTTAATCCTCTATGGAGACACTGAGGTGACTCGTCACCCCATCGCATTTTTCCTTGATTGTCATTCTCATAAAAATGCACCCCGCGGTATTCACCTAACGCACACGGATGAAAAATTTTAATTATATTCGAGCCTTGTCTTCGAGATCTGAATAACTTGTAGTAGCCCGCCTGCGGCTAGATGGAGCCACACGCCTTCAGAGACCATAGAAAAAGTTGGCTGTGGCATCTCGGCGGTGAGGGCTCGCCATCTTGTCATTGTTTTCGTGTGTGCGCGAGTGGAACGCACACTTTTCAGAGTTTCCAGTTTGTTTTGTTGTAATGATCCATTTTTCTCCATTTTTACACAGTTTTTCCATAATCATGGATGATTGTAAGAAGAGGAAACACATAAATTGTGTAGAATATCTAGAAATTTACAGTGAAATTGCAAATATTACGTGCATGGGCTTATCGACTTTTCCTTGGATAAATAATCGATTGGAAATAAAGGTAAGCATTTTTCATGTCTCTCAGCCTTTTTGGACGCTCGGGTCAGATCCTAGTGACAAAACCAATCGACGTCAAAGGCTTTTTTAGGCCGAGTTTATTCCTTGTGGAACGACTCAGCCTAACCTCATTTTACCTTGTTCTCCTGGTCCTAGAGACAAAATCGAGAACAACGAAATTAAAAATGAGGTTGTTACTAATATGTCAGGTGGTTCTTTCATCCCTGACATCCAGGACAGTGCGAGCTCAGATCCTGTTGTGCTGGACACATCTGCGCCTGACGCACTCACCCGAGGCTCCAAGCCTTGTTCTATTTCAATAGTTAAATATGCGCTTGACGCATTGATTCAAGGCTCCAAACCTTGTGTTACTATTTCAATAGTTGAATCTGCGCTTGACGCATCATTCAAAGCCTGAAACCTCCAAAATAATATTCCACCTGAACTCGATTCAGGAATATAGGAGTTCCTGGGCCATCAAAGCCTCATGATGCCGAGATCTCTTTTCAGAGTGATTTGGAAGCTCGTTGAAGTTTCTGGCTGATCTCAAATTTGTTGAGGCACAACTTACACAAATTTATGGCAATATTCACCAAATCTGGATCCAGAGATTGCTTTTATCTCCACCGAACCATAGAGATCCATAGAGATAAAAAAATTTTAATCAATCTCAAAAGCCGCAGGTTCTGCTCTAGTGGCATTGGGGGCGACTCCTCGAAGGCTGCTCTAGGGAGAGAAACTAGACAATCTAGTCCTCTTCCAGAAGTTAAGTGGTTCAAGAAAAATAATAAATTTTGAGTGCCCTTGAGGCTACAGCTCCAGTTTAATTTTTGTATGGCTTCACATCCTTTGGGAAGCTTGAGAAGATTCAAACAAGTCTTCAAAATTGTGTTAAGATTTGGAAATTTACCCACCTTTACAGGAGAATCTAAATTCGTTGGATTCAAAGGAGCTTGTTTTGAGATGTAGAGGTAAAACAAACGATTCAAAAACCTTGCATGCCTCAGGTTGAACAACAGGTCCAACGGGAGGCATTTCCTCAATCGTCCCAATGACTCTCGATCGACGTCAGCGTCTCCAGAGTTATCTCACTTCAGGAGAGCAAGAAGTACTAGCAAAAATCTCTGCAGCCATTCTTGACCATTTCCTTCCCAATTGGAAATTCAACTGTTTTAATAGTTTTATTCTGGAGAGACTGAAGAGTCATAAAAGCCTCTTCAATTCTGGCCCTTACCAATCGATAATTCCTTTAGAATTTCAAATCTCTGAACTGAAAGGGATAGTCCTGAGGGGCGGATAAACAGGTAGGTGATCATAGAGGTAGTTAAAACCTCTGTATTACTATCAGAATCCTATGAGGATCAGCTCGTCTCATTGTAACTTTTTGTTGGTGAACCAAATGATTAGCAATGGTTAATTTTTCACCTTAAAAGGTTGAACAAATTTATGAGAACTCATAATTTCAATTAAAGGACATGAAAATCCTTCTAAAGCTAATACTTTGTGACACATTCACGGATGGCAATGTAT